CGTCTTGCTGCCCCTCCTGGTACCCCATGCTACTGAAATGTCTCGACGCTTGGGTATCACTTTCGACATGGGGGTTTTGAAACCTTGGACCCTCTCCTTTGGTATACCTGTGGGCTATGTCCCTAAATTCCCCAGGGTTACTGTCCCAAGGTGGTTAACCCTCGTACCTATTAATTCTGGGGTGACTACACTGGTGACTTTGCCTATCCACCAGTCTATTTTCTTCAGTAGAGTAAGCCCCCATGGCCAGATAGCCCCACATTCCTTATATTCCTGGTTGTGTGAGCAAGGCGGGGAAATTGACCCAGCTGAGGTTTTCTCCCTGGGTGGTCTTATTTGTAACGGGGTCCTTGGAGCATGGCCAAACATAGCGTCTCCAGTATAACCACTTGCTTCCCCATGGGTAACATATCCTAAATCCCTGCGACCTCTACCACATACCTGTATCAAGTTCTCAATTCGTTGCATTTTGGGCTTTTCTCTGTACCCATTACCTCTTTTGTCCTAGGATCTCCTCTTTCACAAGCCCCCTCTGGTATCCGGCAAATGAGTAAAATCCATGACATCCTGGGCTGCTGTTGTCAACCTAAAATGCTGTATCTTACTCAGGTCGTCAATCGCAAGGGCCCCTCGATCATCGTTTAATTTTGCCTGCAATTTTAGGACCTACCCCAGGAATGGATAATAACTCTTCAAATGTGGAAGAATGTATGCTAACCATTGCCATGTGAATGTTGTTCGATTTGGGATATTTTCGTGTGTGGTGTCTGGTGTTGTGCAAGTAATTTTCAAGGATGCTACATTTGTACACTGGTGCCTTGGAACTGTTCAATTTAATCTACCTGGTTTTGACAGTATATAATAAACGGAAACTTTTCGATTGCAATTTTCCTAAAGAACCCCTCATACAATGTGTGTAACAATTTGGGGTTCCCATCAAGAGTTCCCTATAAGTTTAAAGTGGCGAAAACAAGTTACAATGAAAGTAACCCAACTTACTCTATCTCCTCTCCCACAATATTAAAATAACAGCACAAAAAAATAAAAATATATCCTGCTGATGAACTGTCGGGAGCATCAACAGGGGCAATATGGCTAATAATATCGGCTGCTAAATTCCAAAAACGCGTTATTCACTACCTCGGACAACTGAGAGTAGAAAACACTGGAAATAATGACATGTTAGGGTTCACTAATGTCAAAATGTCGACTGCTGTTCTGGCCTCTTCCTTTATGTATTTGGTAAAAAAAACTACCTCCCCGCTTTAAAATTCGAACAAAGGCTGCTCGCAGCGCCAATGTAAGAATTGTCACGTCTGCTTACCTGTGGTTTATTGCATACTCGCACTGATCTGATGCTCTTGGATGGCTCTTTGCTGGCTGTAAGCGTCTGCTTTAAGTATCCATCATTCCAAACTGGGGGATTGTGAGTACTTCCGGTAATATGTCCTAAGATGGTATGACTAAATACCTTCCGGGGTACTACACTTTAATAAATCTAAGTTCACACTTTATTGGTTTGAGAAATACAAATATAACATAACACGTCTGTCTTTAAATTATCAGGTATCTGAATATCATTCGTTTTTTACCACAAAAGACACATTCAAACATATTTCTAAGTACAAATAATAAGTATGCTACTGAAAATTCTATCAAAAAGCCTTTTTCTACACGCATCACAATTTACTATTTGTAAAGATAAGTAGTAGAAAAAATTAATGTAAAATATATCTATAAAACAAAATTTGGACAAATTGAATGTAATCGCTTTCTTTTCAATTATGTAAAATAGGCAACAACAATCCAAAAATAAGGCGGGAAAACACGCAATTATCACACAAATATCCACAGTAATATACTCAATAAGAAAAATATCGAAAAAAAAACTAAAGAAAAGGGACAACAAAGAGAATACATGGATTTGAACAAATACCGACAAGTTTCTACCTTTAACTTGACTGTTACAGCATGTTAACCTAACGGCCACTTGCTTATACGGCACGGTATAAAGAAACAAGCCCTGTTTGTCCATTTTAACGATGTGTATCATATTATTTTATTGCTGACTGCTGTACCCCTACTTTTAACATTTTACCGATGTGTATCATATCATTTTATTGTTGACTGCTGTACCCCTATTTTTGACATTTTTACCTATTGTGTCTGTTTGTTATGTTCACGCATCGTTATCAATATTATGGAATTTGATGCGACTGTCATACTAGTGAGAGGTTCAGCTAGCTTAAACCAGGGTTCAATCCACGATTTTCTACATAAAAAAAAATGCTTGTACCAAGTCAGGAGTGTGACAGTTGATATCCATTCGTTTGATGTGGTTGAGCTTTTGATTTTTTAATTAGGGACTTTTCTTTTTAATTTTTCCTCGGAGTTCAATATTTTTGTGATTTTACTTTATATATATATATAAGCTAGACATTTAAATTGCAACTCATTGGTAGCCGAGAGTTATCGTCGATGTGTTGATGTCAGTCACACATAGCAGATTTCAGGGAGGGGTTCGATTCTCAGTGAAGGTATGTAAAAATTACAAAAAAATAAAAGTAATTTTTAACATTAATTCTATTTGTGAACATAAATTAGTAAATTGGCAAATTCAGATAATCCAGTTTAAATGAATAGGCTTACTTTCAGGGAGGGGTTTGATTCTCAGTGAAGGTATGTAAAAATTACAAAAAATAAAAGTAATTTTTAACATTAATTCTTTTTGTGAACATATATCAGTAAATTGGCAAATTCAGAGAATCCAGTTTAAATGAATAGGCTTACGTCAATGCAATGGTTTAATTAGTGTTAATGTTTATCATACGTCACAAAGACATGCACCAATGATATCATAGATGTTGTTTTTGTTTTTTTCATTTAAAGTTAGCTCATACTTTGATTTACTTTTAATAGTTTACTGTACAAAATGACTAATGAATATGACATACATGTTATGTTTTTGTACAAGTAAATAAAACTTTATTCATACGTGTTAAATTGCAAAACATCCTTAATTAATCACCAAGGTCTGTTTAACATTGAAATCGAAAGTCTGACCTGTACTGAAATGTTCCGAGTTAGTGATTAAGTCTGAAAATTAACTGAAAAACGGACCATATTCAAAAATTTATTGTTCGGACGTTTCATATGTTAAGATCAAAATTACTATATTATATCCCAATGTATTTACTAGTGCAAGTCTTCTGAACAACTTACTATATCATCTACAAAGGGAAATGCCCGTACCAGGAAAGGAATATGACATTTGTTTTACACTCGTGTGACGTTTTGAGCTTTTGATTTTGCTATTTGATAAAGGACTTTCTGACTTTAATTTTTCTTCAAGTTCGGTATTTTTGTTATTTTGCTTTTTTCTCAACATTTTAAACGTTCATTTATATTTACTAGCCATACGTAACCCTATGGAGAAGGATCTACCTAGCCAGTCGGAGAACCTGAAATCACACTTGGTTTCTGATGGGGTTCTTATTACAAATTCTTCAGTTTTCTGTTTATTGTTTTTAATTGGTTTGTAATTCTGTCATTTTTCACATTTTGAAATGAATTTTATCTCGACGTACGAGTTTTGAATGTGCCATTGGTATCTTTAACCTCCTTTTATTAATTTGTTAGAACACTATTTGTCTGACCAATAATATTATTTTTGAAAGCTGCATTTATACGTAAATAAAACCAGGTATCTTGTTCGAGTAAACTTTGTGTGTCTTATATAAGGATATGTTTTGTATCACAACGTTAGGATCAAATTAAATCTTCTTAAGTGATTTTATTTTCTTGAATGTAAGAAGAAATTTGTTTCCATTTCCTGATTACTGTTATTGAATCTAACTCAACATTAATTATATTCCAACAGACGAAACGAATAGTAATTTTGATAAATGTTGCTGGTTTTAATTTTCGTGCTGTTCAAATGAGGAGGCACTCAATAAGTAGATGTTATATAATTCGCAAAAAGCATTGACTATAGGCAACAGTCTTTTTACGATCTTAATATTTATCACTGTATACAAATGAGGAATAATGTTATTAGTGTTGATGATACAACTAACCACAACCCAGCAATCAAATGTCAATAAGCTTAAGGATGAATTAACAATAGTTAACAAAAAAACATACGTCTGAACGGTTCTTAATCCTCTCCCTCAAGAAGGAATGGACCTTGGAATACGCTTAACTTTGCCCTTACTCCTAAACGTTATATGTAAAATGAAGAAGAACCAAATATTAATGTGTCGTTTGTTGCTGCAGCTTGAACCCAATTACTCACCGCAAAAGATTACATTATATGAGACTGTACAAATAAGTGTCGTCATTGAGTGTTACAAAGATAATTATAACATGTATAAAATTAATATGTAGTTTTATGATTAATGAAACAATAATTTTGCAAAAGGATATTTTTTATCAAGAAGGAAAATTTTAAACAAAAATATGTTGAGTTAGTTTAAACATATTTTATTGCTCAAAACTGACAAATGGATTAGACACAGGTTTTCAGCTTAGTAACGTCTTCTCCATGTTGAGGTGCGAATGAAACTATATATTTAAATATATCACATCTATTTATTAATTAATCAATAACTATATCAATTTTATAACCGATCAAAACAGTATATCAAGGGTTATTTCAATGTTATATTGATTAAATTTTAAGATCAGTTTATTAAAAGAGTAGATTAATTAAATGGATATTCTTTAAATTTACGTACTCCTTAAAATCAACACCGTATAAAAGAGAATATTTAACAATACGGAACGAAAAGTTGTTCCTTTATCCTTTTGTTAATACTTATTTTAATAAAAAATAGTTTAAGAATATTAGTACATGTATACAATTTATGTCTATATTTTGCGAATAGTATACTCACAAAAACGAATACAAAATTACACATCCACGTTTGTAATCCACAATTTGCAGTTGTTTGAATGTATTTAGAGTATTGTTGATGTGATGATTACAATATACAATTGGTACTTTTTTCAGATGGCCTTTTTGGAAGAAATAGTCAAATGGCCGATACAGGTAAAATTAGTTGCTTTGGATAAAAATTTAAGACCTCATTTAGAAGACAAATTGTTATCACTCTAATGAACAAAAAAAATCCAACAGCTTTACATTTCCGTTGTGTTACTCAAACAGTCAGAGGCATTACTTAAACAAGTAACTTTTAAAATTACCTAATGTTGAAAGCAGGGCTATTTTAAAAATTACTTATACAAGAAACTTTTCTAAATACAATTTTTATAAGTGTCCAATTATACAGATTTTACTAGTTTTAACAAAATTTAATTCATCTGGTTATTTTTTCCATTAAATAGAATATCTAATCCTTCTGAAACACTAATTGCCTTTCTGGCGCACTTATATTTTATATTGACGCTTCTGGGTCAAAAATTGGTCTCTTGGGACTACTTAGTATTCGAATATCGTTTACCTTCAGAATCTTGCAGGCAGACAGAAATTATAAGATAGAAATATGTGAATTAATTACGACTTGAAGTAATTTATAATTTGTAACCCAAAATAATTACATATGATCCTTAAATAAGTGTTACTACTAATTCTTTCAGATTGTATAAAAAACCTTATTCAAACAACAGTTTTGTCATTATTTTTAAATTACCCCCTTATGTCTATACTCCACTCAAATCTTATTTAAATGCTTTATTTGGTGGTATTCAATGATGTAAAAATTCATTAAAACTTCATTTAGTCCATGCTCCTATTGGATTTTAAAATACCTCTATTAAGTAATTTAATATTTTTTTCAAAAACAAAAGTAACCTATATAAGTGACTGTTTGATAAAGAAACCAGTTGGTATTACACATTTCAACAAAGAATAAAGTTAAAGAGAACCATTATGTTAATCCTTCAGTTCCCAAAAAGATAATAATATTTAAAACTATAATAACTTTATTGATATATATAGGTCGATATAACTGGGACCCTTTAGCGCAAAACTTATGATGACATCAAGATGTCCAAATTATCATATTTTCTCTTTTCATGGTTATGATACAACAAAAGACGACTGTGGAACCTGGGTATTATCTTTGGTCTCACCTAAATACAAATAAGTTTTATTGCTTAATACATCAAATAGCAAAATATCTTGTTGGATAAAGTAACTATTTTAAAATAATCATTTACATAACTAACATACAAGGTTGACTCCACCATTTTCTACATAAGAAAATGCCTGTACTAAGTCAGTATTATGATAGTTGTTATCCATTCGTTTGATGTTTTTGAGCTTTTGACTTTGCCATTTGATTAGGGACTTTCTTTTTTCAATTTCCTTGGAGTTCAGTATTTTTGTGATTTATTTCATACTATTGTCTTGTAAACCCATGAAAAATGCATTCGGTAGATTTAGAGTTTTGAATACATAAGGTCAAAACAGCTGGCCTTATAACACATTCTCCTTCGTTTCTGATTACTCCATAATCTGATAACGAAGCATATGACTTTCGACAAAAGTGTATATCTGATTGCTTGATTTTATGCAGTTTTGGACAATAACAAACATCGTACCATATCTTTACAACTTCTTTGGTCCTAATTCAAAAAAAAACTTTGAAAGGGCAAAATGAAAATTCAGATCTATAACACGTCTCCGTACCAATGTTTGTCGTGTCAAGAGGTCTTTGTTTTATATTATTTTGATACGATACAACGTTACTGGAAAGTTAAAAAATGTAGTCTTTTGTGGTTCAATAATAATTACTTTATACATAGAATACCATATAGCATGACAAACATCAGTGACGTTTCCGTGTTGCAGGAGTATTTTTGTGTCTGCTGTTCCTTTTGTTTTCCTATCATAAATAATGTGTTTCCCTCGATTTTAGTTTGTAACCTATATTTTTTTTTTCTCAATCGATTTATGACTTTTGAACAGCGGTATACAACTGTTGCCTTTATCTACTAACTTTTTTTTTTTAATCCCGTCGTCTTCTAACAAAGCTAATACCTTCATCTGTACAGTTTACATCCTGCTTTAGTTTGATGTGAATTGTTTCTTTTTTGATGGGATATTGCCGTCTTTGTTGTTCTCTTATTTCTTTTGTTAAGTTTAAGTTAAGATATTAATTTTGCAAGAAGTTATTTTGGAAGGATAATACCAATACAAAACGCTAAACAAAAAGAGAGCAAAAGTACAGATCAGCTGGCAAGTAATTCACATTGGTGCCGATAGAAATTAATTGCAGATATTAACTTGGAATAATAAGACAGGTCAAAAAAATTGCCTTTTTTGCATATATCCTTGTGGTTTTTTTTTCGTTATTTTTTTCTAATGGAAATACACCAAATTCTATCTAATGTCATTCATTTGTTCATGTTGTTAGCATTGTTAGGAAAGATGATTCAAATAAAGTAGTAGGCTGCCTATAATACACACAGTGCAGGACAGGCAGACATATAGACATACTGACAGACACAGATACATTGATATATCTTTTCAAATTATGTTACCCCTATTCATATGGATAGTGCAGAATGTAATAGAACAAACAAAGGTAATTCATACACAATTAATATTGTTTTTATTAATAGTAGAATTACATGACGACATATATTTAAACCTTATAAATGTGAGTGGTGTGTCCAGTTACTTGGGTTTTTTTTTATACAATGTGATCTGATATTTCAATGTCAGAGGAATACTCAATATTTACCAAATATAAACATTTGATTTTTGTGCCCTAGTGGTGGCCGTTAAATTTTTTCCCGTGCTTGAGGTGAATGCTCTTCTGTAAGTTATGGTGTATTTATTCTTGGGATATATTCTTAATTATTTTCCACATCATTCTCTAATTGTAGGCCAGCTAGTGTACTACAATTTTAATAAGACGCATACAACCTTTTCCTGCCCCTTTCCATGTCATTTTTTCAATTTCGAGCATTTATGTGGGGAAGGGCACGGTCCATTTTCACATTATACTGTTCTGTTTACCAGACTTTAGATATACCAGACCTTCACAATTCATTTTATACATAAGTTACAAAAATATATCATACATAATTTGATATTTACACCTATATCTATTTTACTTCGTTTTATATTATTGTACTTCTTCGAAAAAAAAAAATTTACGAAATACCGATAGCCGTCACCTGATAGGGACAGTTTCAAAAATCTCTAGATCTGAAGCAGTTATTCTTTGTCTGAATATTGTGAGATCTGCATATTTTTCGTAGCATTTATTGTTCTTCATTCGACGGGATTCTAATCAATGTTTACATACAATTGTGAATATACCTCATACATTGTGTCCAATGATTTGGACCACTCAACAAATACTGGAATAAAACTTATTTTACTCTGGTAAATTAAAATAGATGGCGCATATTTAATAAGTAAATGAAATTCTTAGTCATGGCATATCGAACCATAGAATGTTTTTTAGTAATTATTTATTTTATCTTATTAGATGACAGATCTGAAGGTAAACATGATCAAGAACCCGTTTATGACGAAGTACAGAAAGGTATGAAGTGTTCTTTATTTTTTTACCTTTAACATTAAATGTAAGGAACACCTATTCGTTTGACAGCTATATTGAAACAAATAAAAGAATCCTGTAGAAACTCACAAAATATTTGAATGAAGACGTTTCTCCTCAATTGTATTTCAGAGGGTTATCTGACAGCTGTTGAATCTAATGCTGTTCACGAATCGAATAGTTCAATATTAAAAGTTTTCGGAATCGACTAATCATTTTATAAAAATAATCAACTTCTCTGTAATGCATGAATAACAGGTCACAACTTTTTTGAACAATATAGCTAATTGTTTGCGTTGGCTTGATGTTTCTGTAGACAAACCATTATGTCAACAAACTAACACAGAGATAATCTTTATCAATCAGTCGAGGCAAATAGGAAATACCATAATATTATGAAAAAGCATAATTCTACTTACATCTTGTGGCAAATTTGAGTTATCTTTCTTAGACTCACCCTGACAATTAAGACATGGGAGATAACAACTTTTGTCTTAAAGGAAGTTGTAAGGAAGATAACTTAATATTATCATAAGTATAATTAGGATACAACATAAATTTGTAATACTTATCAAGTTTGATAATCCATATATCCATTCCATATCTGTTTTACAATGATTTATTTTTGTACCAATTTATGAATTGATAAGACTTTATCGAATTATCATGATTTTTATAACTTAAATCTTTGCATAGGTTATAGTTTACAATGTTTAATCTCGCGTTCCAATCATATCATGTTTCCATTTTTATTCACAATTGCATGTTTTTGTTGTGTAATTCTTTGACGCTATCGGTAAATCTTATCAGTGGTAAAACGGCAAAACCCTCGTGTTTTTATTATTATTATTATCATTATATGCATAAACAAATTTCTGTCTGTGTTTTTCTCGTACAATAACATTTGTTAGAATTGATTGTTATTCAGAAAATATTGCATAGTGCAAGGAGATTTGGTGCCACGATATCTCAGTAGCATAAAGTCTAATCCCGACCAGGGAAGAACAAAAATGTACAGATCCAGCATTGTTGGCCTCACTATATATATATATTCATTATCATCCATGATTATTACAAAGATATGAAACCGGTTGGTGAAAAAATGTAGAAGATTAAAGGACTTTAAGAGCATTTTGAAATTTAATTTTATTTCTTTTTCTACTAGTGTGGACGGAGAATTCAATTTTAAGTATTTATATATATATAACTCGTCTAAACATCAGCCCACCAATGTTAGATCTGTAAATTTGCTTTCGCAAATTTTTTGTTCTTCCCTCGCCGGGATTCGAACTCATGCTACTATACAAATCTAAATTAAAAACAACGTTCAAAATTATAATTGCGTTGGATAGATAAAGTATATATATAGGTAAAAAAAATATAGGAAAAATAAGGGTGAAAATGCACGATATATTCATATTCAATACGAATATTCACATTTTGTCTGTTCAAGCATCAAATTGTTGAAAAATGTTCCAATAGAATTCTACTGGTTTCACTGCTTAACAAATACTCATGGATGAATTGAATATAAATACTTGGTGCATTTTCAGCCTTCATTTTTCCCCTTTTTTATGCACAGCGTGGACAAAACTTAAAACTTCAATATATATATATATTCAATAATGTAAGATAAAGAACATTAAGACTTAAACCAAATGTCGGAGTTGAATTTTGTAAATCAACTAACAACACAAATTATCTTTATAACCAATGTTAGTGATAATTTTATATAAGGTCCCAAAACAGATAAGAAAGTGCAGTTTATTAACTATGCGGTTTGGGTTCATTGTTGAAGGCCGTACAGTGTCATCTTTAGCAGTTATTTTTTGTGTTATTTTGTCTCTTGTGGAGAGTTGTCTCTTTTGAAATCATACCACATCTTCTTTTTTATATTGTATAGTGTATTACGAACTAAAAAAATGAGTAAGAGATATTAACAAGAAATAATATGTAGGCCTAAGTTTAAATAGATACCTAGAATTAAATATACTTTTCTCTGTATGTGTGATATGTAGTTTTATGTAAAAAAATTGGAAAATGTAGAAACCGTACGTGTTCAACAGACGGAATTGTGTTATAAACTTTATGATGAAATGACTATTAAGTTAAGTGGAGTTTTGTTACACTCTGGATTCTTTAAAGTTTTGACACAACATAATGCAGCTTCAATTCTTCCTTATCATAATCAAACATCCTGTTTGTTAAAAGCGGAACCACAAATAATTACAGTCTTTCGCAAAATTCTACCTTTATCAAGGTTGCGGTTTTATCTTGAAGGTCAATATCAAGTAATAATTTTTGTAAACTCATTCAAACATTGGAAACCGATGCATAGAATAGCATGCGTAATTATACATGGTTGATAACGCCACAAAGATAATACCACAGTATTAGCTATTGATAAAACACACACAATTATATATATGTTACTTAAATGCGTTTAAAAAGGTAGATCTGAAGATCTCGGGGCCACTTACTATGTAATGAGTGGTAGTGATGAGCTAAAATAGGTCACTATTTCATGAAGAGGGTGAGAAAATCAGATTGAATACATCGCGATCGATAGGTTGATAAACTTGCTTGATTATATCATAAGTATCTGATACTAATTATATGTCCGTATTTATATTTGATGCGGCTGCCGTAAATACATCAGCTATTTGTCGATCCAATTAAACTCTATTTAGTGTGAAATCTGGTATTTCCACTGATGCTATTTATAGATGCAATAAATCCGATCATTTTGATATGTGCACCTAATTCACATTAAAGGTTTGTTTACATGAAATATGATAACAATTATTTAAAGAAATTCCTTTGTGACAGCTAGCGTCCTATAGGTTACAATAAACCATTAGATTTTAAATTATTGACTGGGGTCACCTCTGATAAAAAATTGTGAAAATTCAGAGAGAAATGCCAGAACGTTTTGAAGATGATTTTTGTGTGGCATATATATTTGTGCATATAACGAACTATGAATTGCATGATTCTAGAAAGTATTAAATACCGTATAGGTTACAATAAACCATTAGATTTTAGGGGCGCAGCCATTTTATGAGCATAACTTGGTATTCAGAATTAAGAGTATAGCTAATCATGATTGGTTGATATGTGCGCCCGTTATTTTTTGACTAGTGTCAAGCTATCCAGCAATTCTCATCCTGCAATTCTCTTGCGATAAAGATATCCTGCAATTCGTCATCCTGCAATTGCGTTCGAAAAACAACTTGAGTGACAATTTTATTTTTTTCAAAATCATGGTTTTTGACTTGTTTTGTTTGAAAAAAAAGATAAATATAAAGTTTTTTATATCCCATTCACAAATTTCTAGCTTTAGTTTACAAATTTCTAACTCATCTTTACGGTCTATAACTAGAATTTACAATTAGAAAAATCATGACGATTCACAAAGAGATATATATCTGTGAAGTCCCGGATATGGTTTCGTTTTTATGCATGTTTAAGAATTTCTTGGGTTAGCTTTCTTAAAGGCCCAAAATTTCGTTCGAAACACGGAAATAAAGCCAAATTCGATAAAATACGCTCTAGGGTCACCCACTTTCCAACCAATTGTCTGGGTAGTTCCTTATGGCTAAGGATTAAAGACTCTGCTTCAATGAACAGCTATTATATAGTACTACAACGGGAAGGTAACGAATTTTTGGGGTAAGCTTTCTTAAAGGCCGAAAATTTCGTCCGAAATATGCAAATAAAGCCAAATACGATATAATACGCATTCCGGTACCCACTTTCCGACCCATTGTTTTGGTAGTTTTTTATGGCTAGGGATTAGAGACTCAGCTCTAATCAATAGCTATTGAATATTTCTACAACGGGAGGGTAATGAATTTCTGGGGTTAGCATTCTTAAAGGCCGAAAATGTCGTCCGAAACATGGAAATAAGCAAAATTCGATAAAATACGCTCTAGGGTCACCCACTTTCCAACCGAATATCTGGGTAGTTCTTAATGGCTAGGGATTATAGACTCTGCTTCAATGGATAGCTATTATATAGTACTACATTGGGATAGTAGAGAATTTCTGGGGTAAACATTCTTAAAGGCCCAAAATTTCGTTCGAAACACGGAAAAAAGCCAAATTCGATAAAATACGCTCTAGGGTCACCCGCTTTCCAACCAATTATCTTGGTAGTTCTTAATGAGTAGGGATTATAAACTCTTCTTTAATGAATAGCTATTGAGTAGTACTACAACGGGAAGGTAAAGAATTTCTGGGGTTAGCTTTATTAAAGGGCCAAAATATCGTTCGAAACAAGGAAATAAAGCCAAATTCGATAAAATACGCTCAATGGTCACCCTCTTTTCAACAAATTGTCTGGGTAGTTCTTAATGGCTGGGGATTAGAGACTCTGCTTCGATGAATAGCTATTATATAGTACTACATCGGGAGGGTAAAGAATGTTTTGGGTAAGCATTCTTTAAGGCCGAAAATTTCGTCCGAAATATGGATATAAAGCCAAATTCGATAAAATACGCTCTAGGATCACACACTTTCCAACCAATCATCTGGCTAGTTCTTAATGGCTAGGGATTATAGAATCTGCTTCAATGAATAGCTACCGGTATTATATAGTACTACATTGGGATAGTAGAGAATTTCTGGGGTAAGCATTCTTAAAGGCCGAAAATTTCGTTCGAAACACGGAAATAAAGCCAAATTCGATAAAATACGCTCTAGGGTCACCCACTTTCCAACCAATTGTCTCTGTAGTTCTTTAGGGCTAGGGATTAAAAACTCTGCTTCAATGAACAGCTATTATATAGTACTACATTTGGGATAGTAGAGAATCTCTGGGGTAAGCATTCTTAAAAGCCCAAAATTTCGTTCGAAACATGGAAAAAAGCCAAATTCTATAAAATACGCATTGGGGTACGCACTTTCCGACCCATTAATTCTGTAGTTCTTTATGGCTAGGGATTAGAGACTCTGCTCTAATGAATAGCTATTTGATATTACTA